TTGATCTTGTGGCCGATACCGCTGACTATAGTCACAACGTCAGTACATGCACTCATGATATTGCCACAGCCATGGTGACGTACTGAGCTTGTTCTGCTTCCTGCAGGTGTCGACGAACTCACGCGGCGTGAGACCAGTGTCACGCGCGTTCGAGAACATCGAGGCAGCCTCGTCGAGCGCACCACCGAAGCGGGAACCGATCGTGAGGAGACCAGACGCGAGCGAGGATATGAGGTCCTTGCCAGCGCGGGTAGCGACGATCGTGTTCATGGCGCTGCAGCACTCATCAGCTATCTTCCCTCACACAACAGTGATGAAGGAGACAAGACTCACCCAGACACAGCCGGACCGTGGTCGGCAGTGAGCATGAGCACCATCTCGATGAACTTGGTCGCCCATGGCGGGAGGCGGCGCTTGAACCAGAGCAAGCTGACGACACCGCCGACACCGATGTCCTCCTTGAACACGTCCGAGATACGCATGCCGGCGTAGAGGAGCTCCTGGCCACGCTCGTCGGAGATGGTGGAGATGAACGCCGCAGGCTTCCGGATGAGGCCGAGCTCCTGCGCCCACTTGTAGTCCATCGGGATGACGGGGGGCTCGCGCTCGGGCTGGGGCTTGATCGCGCCGGTGGAGACAAGACGCTCGTACGTCGCCTTGAGCACCTCAGGCAGGTCCTCGAAGGTCTCGGGGACGATGAACCCTGCAGAACGCATGGCGGAGTTCTTCGCGTCCGCGGTCTCCAGGTCCGAGTTCGCCATCGAGCCGGCGTGGCCGAACTGCACCTCGGTGGTGAACATCTTCGCGCAGGTACCGATGGCCCAGGCGATGATGGGCTTCTTGATGATGCCCTTCTTCACGGCCTCGATGACACGGTACTCCTCGATGCCACCGACCTCACCGAGCAGCACGAGCAGCTTGCACTCGGGGTCAGCCTCGTAGCGGAGCAGGTGGTCGATGAAGGTGGAACCGGGGTAGCGGTCACCGCCGATGGCGATACCTTCGTACGTGCCGTTCGTGGTGTAGGAGAGCATGTTGTTGAGCTCGTTCGACATACCACCAGACTTGGAGACGTAGCCGACAGAGCCGGGACGGTAGAGCTTGGAAGAGATGATGTTGTCCATCATACTACAAGGAACAATCAGCGCAAGCCCCACCACCGGGCGGAGATGTTAGCTTACCCTCCAGAGTTACCGATACGGAAGCAGCCAGGCTTGATACCACCGACGGTCGCAGGGCCGATGATGAGGACGCCCTTCTGCTTGGCGAGGTGGAGGATCTCGCGCGCGTGCCTCTCAGGGACACCCTCGGCGATGAGCGCGATGCTCTTGATCTGAGAGAACTCGAAGATCTCGAGTGTGCTCGAGTACACGCTACGCGACGAAGCGAAGTTGACGACGACATCGACGTCGGGGTGCTTCTTGACAGCCTCGGCAACGCTCGTGTAGACGGGCAGGAGCGTCTCCTTCGTGCCCCAGTAGAACTTCTGGATGTGGTGACCACCGAAGGGGTAGATCATCGCAGCGACACTGGGGGTCTCGCGACCGCAGGAGTAGTCGAAGTCGAGCATGCCCTGGATCGCACGCGGCTGGAGACCGTATACGAACGAGCGGGTTTGCGCATCGAAGGGACGGAACCAAGGGCGCGAGCGACCGCTGTCGGTCTTGTCGTCGAAGTTGACGATCTGATCCTGAGGCTGCGTGCGCTCACCATCAGCGTGAATAGTGCCAACGGTAGGCTCGGCCTCGAGGTTCTTGCCAGAGGCAGCACCCTTTGGCGAAGGCGGGCTGATGGGAGTGGCGGCGATCGAGTGAATGTTGGACTGCTTGCTGGCAATGCCAAGCGCGAGGGGAACGATGGCGGTGATGTGGGTGTCGGGGCCGTAGACCTTGATAGGAACACCAAGAGACTCGCCGAGAAGACGCATCGCCTTGAGACCCTCCTGGTAGTTAGGACCACCACGACGAACGTAGATCTTGACCTGGTGGGCAATGAGAGGAGACCTGTACTCCTTGAGCGCACGGATGATACCCTTGAAGGTCGCCGCAACGTTCGTGAAGTTGGCGATACCACCACCGATGATGAGGATCTTGCCGTCGGGACGAGGAGTACCGCGGGTCATCAGGTCGACTAGATGGCATCGTCAGCGATCGAAACATCACTCTAGTGCGCATGAACTTACGGATCGTCTTCGCATACTCGTACGTCTGGCCTTCCGAAGGTGCACCGGAGTACTCGCCGTAGTTGGCGAGCTCGTGCGCGAAGCCGTGAGCGGCGATGGCATCGGAGTAGACGACTGAAGCACCGCCACCGGCGACCATCGTCCAGATGCGACCCTCAGCGTTGAGGACCGTGAGCTTCAGCGAGGCACCGGTAGAAGCATCGAGCTTCTGGATGTACGCCTCCTCCTTGGTCAGATCACGACCGAACGGAGCGGGCCAGACCTACATCATCGTCAGCAAGGAGGGCATGAGTTCATCGGGCTGGGGACGTACCATTGGAGGGCCACGGTCAGCGGAGACAGTCTTGCCCTTCGTTGTCGTGGCTTGAGAGTCGTACACGGACAGGTCACGGGCGATTGCCCACTTGGGTCCGCAGATAGACTCAGCCGTCTGGTCGAGCTTTGCAGCCATGTCAAGGTAGTGGAGGGTGGGCTGGCCGCCGTTGACACCATCGAGGACTACGAGGGGGTTGATCTCGAGGTAGGCGAAGTGAAGGTCGACGTAGACGGAGTAGAGGCGGATGAGGAAGTCAACGAGGGTCTCCTTCTTGGCAGCGGGGACGTGCTTGAGGAGGGTGTCGGCGATGACTTGGCGGGAAGGGAAGGGCTTGCCGACAGGAAGGTTGAGCTTGAGACCCTTGGCGTCGACATCACCAATATCGACACCACCTTCGTGGGTGAAGAGAATGTAGTCGCCCTCTCGTTCGGAGTTGATGCAGACATAGTACTCAGTATCCGAAGGGTGAGGCAGGAACGGCTCCACGATGAAGTTGTTCAACGTGCCAGTTACGGACTCAACCTGACATGAATGCGATTAGTCCCACATGAATGACTTGCAAATGAACGGTAAAAGGGAGAGCTCTGCTGCACGGGCACCACGCGTCGTCAATGTCATCCCGTAGGAACAGACCCAACACGTTGGAGAAGACTCGGAGAAGCTGAGCGGGCACGTCGGGAATTCCAGCGGCGACGGTCAAGTTAGACGGTCGCACAACCCAGGCACGCCCAGTTCTCCGATTGAGGCTTCTTGACGTAAAAACTTCCGTGCTGTCCAGCATCGAGAATCTGGGATGCCGGCGGACAGGTACCGCCTGGACGTAACGCGGTGCAATACAATCACGTGCCGTATACGACGCGTGTAAGCGACCTCGCGCAGAACGCGAGCTTGAACGCGACGTGATGCATGAGGTGAGTTGGGGAGCATAAGGCGTGAAGTGCGAGGAACAGGGTATTGGAACATGCAGCGCGTCGCTCAATCGATCTCGCACGGAGCGCCAGACAGATAGAAGCGATCTGGAGGGGCTAGACAAGACGCGCTCACCTTCTGGGGCTTGCCTGCCCGCTGCTGAATCCACTCCTTCGCCTCCTCCCAGGTCTTGTTGATTGCGAGGAGTCCCGCCTTTCCACGACGCTTGATGAGCTGGTCAGGCTTTGCGACAAGCTTGGTCGTGAACACCCAGCTCGGGAGTTGGGTATCGGGTGTGATCGCGTTAGTCGCAGGGTCCCATGCAATCTGCGCGACCTTCGGAGACGGGTAGATGAGTTTGGTCGCTACCTGCGCGGACGGGTCGACAGCAGGTGCACGCTCGAGCCAGTACGCGAGTAGGAGCTTAGCATCGTATTCACGGATGGCTGCACGGAGTTAGTGCATGCATGTGGGCGCTTTGGTCGTGCAGACACACCTTTCGAGGACATTTTGTACGATGGCGAAGAGTGGGAGGAAGGGGGATGATGGGGGGAAGCAGGAGAGGGCGAGGGCGGCTGTCTGGGCTGGCCGCTGGCGGTATTTAAGGCCTGGAGAAGGTTAGGCGGGTGTCGAGGTCGCCTCACTTTAGAAAAATACGGGTGGGGGCATCATAATCTCAGATCGCTGTGCCTCCCATATCCGGCGCTGGCCCATATAGCCCCCAAATTTCGCACGACGCGTCTATCTCCTCCCGCCATTCTCATTGGCCCGCGCGACGTTCTCTCGTACGACCTACGCTGGACACCTCTCAGTCCAGCGACGACCAGACATCAACGCGAGCAATGGCACTCGTATGTGTGAAGTCTGACCACCTTTCGCCCACAGATAACGCTGAAACGCGCCTCATCCTGACATGTCCATCTTGTCACTGTCCATTGCATTTCGCTCGTGTCAGGACACATGCCAGTGCACGGTCCCTCTTTACGAAATGGAATTGGACACCTGCTGCCCGCTTGTGTCGGGCCAGAAGACGCGTTGCTGCAACTGGCCTCTTGATTATGTCACATCTTGCAGCGAAGACTGGCGGTGAGTCGAGATGTTGTCCCCGATTTGCCTCCGAAGCCCTCACAGTCGCCGCCGACCGGTACCGGACGTTCAGCATATAACTCAGATGGGTGGTGAGCAGTGCGGAGCCTCCCTGTTCTCACCAGATACTATCCCATAGGCCTGAGCCTCATGACGAATGCGCGCGCTATCGTCATGACTTTTTCGACCCTCTGTCGCCAGTGCGGACAACCGTCATCGAAAGCGGCTTACATCGCGGGGACCAGTCTCCCGTGTTTTTTCATGGCGGACCGGAGGTTGGTCGCACCGTTGAACTCGGTTACGAACAGTCCCCGGACCCTCGAGCTCTTCGACGATCTGACTTATGTTCCAGGCACTCCGGTACCTGCGCAATGACAGTCCCTTCTTCTATGCTGCACCATTACGAACTTGGACTCTGGAGAAGCACTGCGAGTCAATCCGCGACTATTACGCGTGTCTTGGGCAAGACGTCCTGAATATATTGTGCATAAAGCACCTGTCAGTCAGGGCGCTATAGTGTAGTGGTTATCACTTGGGATTCTGATCACTGCTAAGCGCTTGTTCCCACGACCCAGGTTCGATCCCTGGTAGCGCCTTTTCCGAGTGTTTCTTATTTTTGGTCATCCATCCTGAGCGACGGGACTGCAGCTGCTTGCTTGAGGATCGCATCCGAATGTTTCACATACTTGAAATGTACAGTAGATACTTCTAGCTTTGGCACGGCCCGCATTGTTGAACGAGACAGCTGTGGTAGAGCCTATACCAGACGGTAGTGAACAGCGGGAGACCGGTACTTAGTACTACTTAATGGCGCCGGCTGTACCCTGCACTCTACTTATGATGTCATGGAACATGGCCATCCATTGAGTTCGCTCACGAAGGACGAAGCACCCACCGGCCTCTCCGAGGTCTCAGTGTGTAACGGCAGACCTACCTACTCACTTACTCATCACTCACCCTGAACATTGCCGCCTCAGTCCTTGACTCAAGTTCACAGCGGCACCGATCCTCAGTGCAAACAGCTAACGCCGCGTCGTGCACCGAGTATAAAGAGAGCAGTCCGGCGTGCTGGCCACCACACCCGTCTCACACTCAAAAGCCTATCAATCGATATCGACCATGCCAGCCATTACATCCGGGAGAGTCCTCGTAACCGGGGCGAACGGCTACATCGCCGTCTGGATCGTCAAGTCCCTCCTCGAAGCCGGGTTCGCGGTGCGCGGGACCGTGCGCGCCGAGAGCAAGGCGGCGTACCTCCGCAACCTGTTCCAGTCCTTCGGGGACAAGTTCGACGTCGTCGTCGTCCCGGACATGACCAAGGTCCGTCCCTATACCGCCCCCCTAAGTGGTACTTACTGACACGCCTCACAGGAAGACGCGTTCGCTGAGCACGTCAAGGACGTCAATGCCATTGCGCACACCGCATCGCCGTTCCACATGAACGCCGTCGAGCCCGACGAGATCATCGGCCCCGCCGTCGCAGGCACGCTCTCCGTGCTCAAAGCCGCACACGTCCACGGCGCGGTCGTGAAGCGCGTGATCGTCCTCTCCTCCACCGCGGCGCTCTTCCGCGCGACCACGGAGCCGGTCGTGCTCGACGAGTCCGCGTGGAACGAGCAGGCGCTCGCGGAGGTGAAGCAGAAGGGCAGGGACGCGCCCGCGGTCACGAAGTACCGCGCGAGCAAGACGCTGGCGGAGCGCGCGGCCTGGGAGTGGTACGAGGAGAGGAAGAGGGCGGGCGTGCTGGGGTGGGACCTCGTCGTCCTGAATCCGCCGTTCGTGTACGGCCTGATCCTGCACGAGTGCGACAAGCCGGAGAACTTGAACCAGTCGATGCGCGACTGGTACCACCTGATCGTCGAGGGCAAGATCGACAACGAGACGTTGGTCAATGGCGGGTGCGTGCTGCGTCCGCTGACATCCTGCTCTCCCCCATGAGTACTGACTGTGAGCTCGATATACTCCAGGGCGATGTACGTCGATGTCCGAGATATCGCGCAGGCGCACACGCTCGCGCTCTTGAAGCCGGACGCGGGCGACAACCGCTTCATCATCTCTGCGGGACCCTACAAGTGGCAAGACTTTGGTCAGTATCCCTCTTGCTGCATCGCTTTCAGACCTCAGCTCACCTCTAAGCTCTCGTCCCTCTGCAGCTACTGCCGCGCATCGGTTCAGTGACAAGCTACCAGCCGGCGTCACCTCGTACGACCCGTCGAAGGCGACCCACCTGCTGCAGTACGACAACAGGAAGGCGATTAATATCCTGGGCATCAAGTACCGCAGTATCGAAGAGATCACCAGTGACTCCCTGCAAGACTTCAAGGCTCGAGGGTGGATTTGAGCTCGCACTGGGGCACTAGAAAGCGTTATCATTTGTACGAATACCGTGTTATCAGTTGCAATGTTCAATACTGATGAATGTCCAATGATTGTAAACATATCCAAAGCAATCGCGTCCGATAAAAAGTCCACTGTTCAAAGTCCGTACCACGCAAGCGACAGGCAGCATCACAACTCCAGTAGGGCGAGCAGCTTGTCAAAGTTCGGCGTACCGAAACCAGTGACCTAGGTGCATCCTCGCGTCAGCATGCCAACATTTTGAACGGATGCTCGACTGTGACGTACCGGATCCCATCCCTCGACAGCACTGAAGCCCCGCGGGGCATCGTCATCCTCGCACTGAATCGAGCTGTTCCCAGTCGTGATATCCGTCAACGCCTCATACCCCGTCGAATACAGCCACGGGTTCAAGAACCCCAGCGGCGCCCGTCCCTTCGCCAGCAGCCTGTCGTTGATCAGCGCGATGATCGACGCAACGGTCGGGCTGGAGGCACTCGTGCCCGTAACGGGGAAGGAGATGCCCTCCCACACGATGAACCTATCCGCCTTCGCGGCGAGGTCGGGGAACGCGCGCCCGCTGGCGTTGAACCTGCCGGCGTTCTCGGACCCGTGCGCGGCGAGCCAGGCGGAGACTGCCGCGTCTTGGTAGGACGGGCGGGCGTAGTAGTTCGAGAAGCCGCCGCTGGAGCTGACCCACGCTTCTTCGGGGGAGAAGCTTTGGGTGCCGCCGACAGAGGTCACGCTGGAGGCGATTTAAGTTGAATAGCGCAGGGGGCGTTGACTGGAGGAGAGGAGTCACTCACAACGGGCAGTCCGAGGGGAAGGTGGGCGAGAACAGGGTCTCGTTGGTCCGTCCGCAACCTACGCCGCCGTCCCCGGCTGCGAAGAGGATCGTAGTGCCGCGGGCACCCAGCTGCGCATACGCCTGACACGCCTTGCTGTTGAAAAGGTCAGCGAATGAATCGGAATTGATCAACACCGGAGAGGTCCTCGAACATACTCAACAAGGTCGAACGTCAGGCCGCTCTCCGACTGTCCGTAGCTCGTTGTCAAGACCAGCGGCGGGCTGTCCAGGGAGAGCAGGAAGTTCATCTCGTCTAAGAAACCGAACAGGTCGCCGTCGTGGATGTCGAACCCTCCGAAGTAGTAGGTTATGTTAACGTTCGTGGCAAGGCCGACCGTGTACTGAATGTCCAGTTCCTAAGCATCTCAAGGTAAGCGTACTGCGCACGGGATAAGGGCACGGCATACGCACTCCTTCCGAGACCGACGGGGCCGTAGGGTCGTCCACACCGCCGTCGAAACCGACGAACGTGTAGTTCGTATCAGGGTCCATATCTGGCCGGTAGGTTTGCAAGAACACCTTCAACCAGTCCCTGTGAGCATTATTGCCGAAGAAACCCGTCACGCCAAGCGAGTTGTTCTTCTGTGTCGCCGGCGTCAGCGGAATACCATACAACTCCTGGAGGCACGGAATGGTGGTGTTGTCAGGAGAGCATGCGGAAGAGGGGTCGCGCTGCACAACGTTGTGGAATGCACGCTTCTGCTTTGTTGCGGAAGACAGCTCGATGGAGGCCGGGAACCTGGACATATTCAGTGACATGCTCTCATAGCGCACAGAGAGGGACGTACGAGACAGTAGGGTGCACGAGGTCGACGTGGCCTTGGAGAACCTGTGGCAGGGAATAGGAGAGCGTCCGGATGACGTCCTTGCCACCGTCTCGGCTGGTGAACGTTGTGAAGTTGGCGTCGAACAGCTGATTGGCCTTGCTAACAGGAACCTGGATGCTGATCCAATCTCCGGCCGGCGATAAAGTGGTCGCGGTGAGGCCGTTCGCGTTCAACCAGGTGTCAACGGCATCCTTGGTGTCAGACTTCGGTGCCACCAAGTTCTCGACCTGCAAAGGTAGGTCAATGGAGACAAGCTGGAAGAGAAAGTGGGAAACATACCTCCTGCTTCGTCAAGTGCTGGCCGTACTTCGGGCTCGCGGGGTCGCTAACACTATAGAGTGCGTCGACCACTCCGGGCGCATTGCCCTGCGCAAGCGCAAGACGCAACGTGATCGTCTGCTCGGGAGAGGCAGGACCAACACTGGTGAAGCCCTGAGGTGCAGCATCCAGCTTCTCGCGCACACGGAAGTTCGCCGACGATGTCGCCCAGACAAACCCGAGGTAAACGAAGGGGAGCAGTGCCTTCGCGAACATGGTGGAAGTGGCCGGTGGTGACCGCGACGAGCACGATGAACGCGTGGTGGAGGAGAGAAGTCGACAGACTGCGCTTTATATATGGACCATGCGGATGAAATTGACATCGAGGTTGCGAATCGCGATGTCCATGTGCTTGCTCCGGCGTTCAATCCCCATCTTCTTCTTGGATTGCCGTAACAGCGTAAGCTGACAGACATCAGCGCTGCGAGACAGCGGGCTGCAGCCGTCGCCGACTGACACATAGTCAGTATGTCAGAATGAGGGTTGCGAAGCAGCGGATGGACCGAAGGGGAGGTCCACGGGTTCGGTTAGACTTTCTGGAAGTCCAGGACGCCGAGTGCTCAGCGTCTGTGAGGAACTGAACATGCTGGACAGCACGGAACGCGGCCATAAGATCGCCTTCGTGTGGAACAGGTTGTGAAGAGTGACGTTGAAGGAAAGCGCAATCGCCGTGTAGGCCGGCTATGATGGTGGTGTCGAGCGGATGTTACTTAGCAAGGATGGAAGTGACGCACACATAGCTATGGCATGCTTACCTCGCAAAGCTTCCGCACCGGACGGTACTGCCGTTGTAGAACAGTCCGCAGCTCATCTCACACTGACAACAGCAGATCTTGACAAGAAGTACTGGGATGTTCGCTGTGTCCTGCGTGATCGGCGGTTCAGTACCCGGTTGGTACCCGGATGTACGGACGCACGGTACACCACTGCACTTACCTCGTACTGACATCAGTTCAGGTCAATGTCGATGAAACCCGCCAGGAAACACGCATGAGTAGATGTCGTCGGTGATTTTTCCATGCTAGCCCAAAGTCGAGCCATCTCGTCGGCCGGAGGAAGCAGCTCGCCAGTAATGCATCATGGCTGAGGAGAAGTTCAACGTCAACGTTCAACTCCAACGTCTTGCTGCTAGCTTCACTGTCAGCCTTGCATATCACCGGGCGCTTGTTGACGCTTCCACGTGTCCCAGCGCAGCATAAGCGCTCACGCTTGGGTTCCCGGCCTCGTGTACTTACCTCTTCAGAGCTTCAACCTCAGTTGTCTCTTG